AAAAAAAAAAAAAAAAACCAGTTACACAGTCTATGTGTCTTCTGATACTTAGCTACTTATCAACATTTACGTTATTCCCAAAGACGAACTATTTTTCAACAACTTTTAAAAATCTTTTCACTGTTTTACAAAATAAACTAAAGGTAATAATAGAACAAACAAAAGCTAAAAAATGTGTAAAGATAGCTTATTTTAAGCTTTTTCTTTTGATTCTAATAATTTCACTTTATTATCCTACACTTTTCTATTGGTACCGACAGTTACAAAAGTGGTAGGGTTCTGTAAACTTGACATTATTGAAACCTGCAGTTTTAATTTTGGCTCTCATTGGTTTTTTTTTTTAATTTTGTTTTAACTTTTATTCTTCTTTTTTTATTTTGTATTTTGTAACTATAAAAATAATACGGCTTTCGGTAGACGTATAAATGTTGCTGTCAAGTGATTAAACTGTTTTACTTCCCCTTTCGTCTCTTCTCTTTTCAATTATCCGCCATCAAATTTCATCCTCAAACTAATGAGAGATTACTACTTTAGTGCTGCTTTAACCTTACGGTTAGAAAATTACGGTTTTTGTATTACAGTAGCTCTTAAATAGTTTTAAACTGAAGACAAGCATCTCCAGTATCTGTTTCAAAATGATGTCATATAAACTGCTGATATATAAAGCAAAAACCTATCAATGATATCAAATTGATACTTACTGTTGTTGGTATCAGTGCGGAGGCTTTTGGTAAAACAGATTGACAATAATAAATGAATTGCCTTTCTTAAATGATTGTTTCAGTGATAGTAATAGAAGACAACAAAAGATATATTTATAAGCGATAAGTACATTTATTTTAAAACGGTGCATAATCACTGTTAATTCTTTTCTGTACTTTTTACTTCATTTACTTTATAGTTGAAGACAATTTAATAGCTTTACAGCTACTACTTTTCTTATTATAGAAGTCTATTCTTCTTTCGTTTTTTTTTCAAAAGAAAAAGACAGAGAAGAGGATGGTGAAGATGACTAAAAAAGGCGGGTTGAGGAGCAAAGTAAATGAGAAAAAAAAGAGGAGAATGAGTAAAAAAGACGCAAAATGTTGGAGGAGAGTGAAGAAAGATGGGTTATGTAGTTGAAATTTTTTGTTACCAATGACGAATGAAATAATGATAGGTAAAAAAAATACTGAATGCAATTAAAACTTCTTAAGTATTATATTACTTTCTATCCTATACAAACAGTTCTGTTTTTTACTTCTTGCTATTTTTAAGCAATAATTTAATTGCACATCATAGAATAGAAGCTTTTTTTTCTTCATCTATTTGGCTACTGCCAACACTGCCGTTTTCCGAATCAAAAAAATCGTTTTTTACATTTTTGAATCGATTTTTCAGAAAAAACCTTTACAAACGTGGGGTTTTCTAGGTTATTCTAATTTCTCTAATTTTCATTCTTTTTGCACTTATAAAGACTGTTCTGAAAGTAAATTCAAAAAGTTTTTTTGTACAAAGTTTGATTTTTATATTTCTAGTTTGAAACGCCTTTTTTTTGCTATCAGCTACAAACCTACTAACTGCAATAGAGAAACTGTCTAAGCTTTGACAAAAAGAAAAAATGATAAGGCAACAATGATGAAGAAAGACTGCAACAAATAAATAAACCTTAAGAAGATTGCACTTTGACTAGAATCTTTCAAGCTGCATCATTAACAGTACCAATAGTGTATTATTGGTATCATCCGATGTCTAAATATGATGATTTTACCAGTATAATTATAGACAACCTGGTTGAACTGAACTTCGGAAAACCGTAAACCGAGCTTCTCTTCTTATCCTTAGAATACAACGTCAGACATTTATCAACAAGCCTCATTTTTGCTACATATCAGCTAATCATTTCCTAGTTGTTGCTGCCTTAGATCGCCAAACTACTTAGCACACGCTTCTTCCCTAGAGATCAGTGTTGATAATATATGCTACGATTTAGTCACACCGTTAACAACTGTAGTTTCAAGGTTTACAACAAAAACTCAGTTTTGTCTGTGTTACTACAAATAGTACACTTTAGAACCTGTTGAATGCTGATCAAAACTTCAGGCATACATTCTGTAATTCATTTTTTTTAATACTTGAATTAAATAATATGAAACGAGTGGTAGAAAAATAGGCATAAATAAGTAACTTTTGAAGACTAACTTGAGTTGCACAACAACCAAATATGCTGCAAAAAGGAACCAATGTCCTTGAATACAATCATATTTGGTTAATTTATTCAACACTAATAATCCACTTTTTACTTTTCCTTTTCTTTCTTTTTTTGCACTAGACACTTGTAACATTTTAAAAGCTTTTATTCTGTACTCTTGTCTTTTCTTTTAAAGGCAGTAAAAATTTAAAAGAATTTTTTTTATTTGGTAAATCAGATAATAAAAAAAATCTCATATTAAAAATTTGTGTTCCAAACTTTGAATTGTTTATTTTTTGTTTGAATTCAGAGAGGAGATGAAAAAAAAATGGAGACATTGCGGTTGCATAGAATCGGGTAAAGAAAATGCCTAAAACCTTTTCCTTGTCGAAAAAAGAGAAAAAAATAACCTTCATAGATGTTGTTCAACTTTTTAAGCTCTTTCTCAGTAATAACAATACCTACAATCAACTGAATTTGCAGTAACTTCTTCACAACAAATCTTTTTGGAAGTTTTGGCTAAATTTTAAAGAACCATCTCCTTTTTAAAGTTTTATGCACCAACAACAATGATGAAATACCGTTGAGTCAGAAGTACAAATTGGAATATGATTATTTTTCAAATTTTACTTCATTTTCTACTGATTTAAGTTTTTCATAAACCAATAAAACAAATTTGAGAGTGACAGTTTTTCACCCTTGTCTGATTATAAGCCTTTATAGTAATACTAATATTAAGAGTAATACTGACACTAATAATAATTGTTGTAATTATAATAACTTTTTGGCAAGACTGATAGCAAAAATAGCGCTAATGGTAGTGCTGAGAAGTGAGCAAACGTAGAGTTACTTATAGAATTTTATAAAGATAGCAGTAATTCTTTATACGTCAATTCAGTGAC